CTCATTGGAATGCTGCTGACATGTGGACTCCCCATACTATGTTTTGGAAACACTTATTCATTATACGGACATATTGACTGTGAAAGTAACCATTAAATACTTTCAAAGGAAAGATGCCACGTGTCTGACACATTTATTTTGTCTTTGTTCGGTTATAATTTAATCGCGACAGAATGAATTTGTCAACAACTGGGTGGTGTGCGGTTGTTTCATCTAAGCAAAAGGATTAGTTTGAAGTCACAAAGCAGCGGAATACCAGCACGTTTTTCTATTCACAGCATGTATGTTTCTACTTGGTCCATCACTTTTTAATTCCATTGAAAGTAACAGTTTTCGCATAAACTAATCCCTTTAATTCATGCGAGGACGCCTGAGATCTCCTCATACCAACACAGCTGAAACACTCCAGCCCAAAACAATGGAACCCCTGTGTGGTTACACATCTGGTTTTGTGGCACAACTGTTTCTACGTCCCAGTGTCACGAAACGTCCCCCTGAAGTGCCCCGTGGCACGAAGCCGCTCAACTGGTTTCCAGTGTGGCGGTCGTACGCCACCTGGCAGCCATCACCGGCTTAAGCCACCAGCGGGATACTGCACAAAAGTAGAATAAAGAAATCCAGGAGAACTAAAAAAAAAGCGCAGCTTGACTTGGTGTGATCGGCTCATCGGTTGCACGTTTGCCGAGTCAGGATGAGAAGGGGGATCCAAGTCAGTGCAGGTGCACATAGCGCTTACGGCTTAAGTAGACCACGGTATCGATCACAGACTTACCGATGAAATTAAGAAACACTCGCAACATGTTTTTCACCCGCTGAGCAGCAACGAATCGGAAACATGGAAATGGAAACTTATGAAGAGGTGAAGCATATGATATGCAAAAAAAGGGAAAACGGCAGCTGTAATTAAACAGAAAGAAAAGGCCAGGCAGACAATCCGGACCGACAATGCAGAAGGATTTAAAAATAACTACTTACTAGGAAACTGTTTTAATTGCTTTTAATATGATTGTTTTATGTGTTGATTTTATTGCTGTATCTGTGTTTATGTGCTAAATAACCTGCTTTCGTGCAACCAAGTCAAAGCTGAATTCATCCAGGATAACTTGAATATCCCGGGCTTAATCCCATATCCTGGTGTCGTGCAATAGCCCTCAGGCCTCTGCGCGCTACGCCAGCGCCTGGAGTCTGCCGAAGAGCGGGACACCCCGGTGCATATCGTCTGCTTCATTATGGGACGGTTTATTTATCCCTTTAGACGGGACCGGGTTTAACGGAGTTGCAGATCATTATCCAATGGATTATTTCCACGGCAAGTGTCTCAACTGATGAATGATTTACAGGCAATGGTCATTTTATAAAGGCTGGAGGGGTGTGGTCAGGCATGTCATTTCTTTTTTAATTAAAACTGAATAATTCAACTAGAGTAAATAACCACCAATACCAAATCAATGACTGAATCTTAGATGCAATGCATTCAATTGTACAATTCAAACAGAGACAGAGCTGACAGGTGGAAGGTGTCTCTTTTGAAAAAGATTGTTTGTCAAAAGTTTTGAGATCGAAGCGCTGGAATCCACCGGCTGCCGCTCGCTCCTGTAATTGAACCCATGAGCGCTCTGCTGACAGATTGATCCCTGATGTCACTGTGTGAGTGCAAAAAGTTTTTCCAGTGTATTTATGGCCTCATTAAAAGAATAATAATAACCTTTGTTTTGTCAGCCCGCTCAAAGATAGATGGCGGCTGCAATTATCACAGCGGAGCTTCAACCCCGTCTCATCGAGTAAAGGAAAAAAATCTGTTCCATGAAACGTGCTGGCTTCCAGAGGAAGTCGTATAAAGAAAGGGGGCTTCGGTTAGAGTTTAGTGAATACCTCTAATGTTAAAGAGGAGCCATGCATTCTTCACACACAGCCCGGCGAGACATGGTTAGAGGCTGAATGCAGTTTAAGGAAGCTGTTTTGGAGGAGGAAACAGCACGATGCTAAACACATAAACCAGCATCTGAATGACTGAATGCGTCCCGGCCCAGAGGCGAGCGGAGCCGCTGGGATGCATTGCCGGGGAGTGAGATGTGACTCACAGAGCAGTTAGAGCGAGGAGAAGATCCAGGAGGGCAAATTGTCCACCTTTTTCCAAAAGGGGAACTGCCCATCAAACGACTTGGGGTTAAGGATTAAAAAGGGAGGTGAACAGGCGCTTCGCACCATCATACGTTTAATTGAATTGAATACTATTCAGATAGGAGCTCGGGGAGAAATGATTAAGAAAAGATGTCAGGGCCAGTGACCTTTCTGCCGTCGCTTTGCTTTTAGCAGAGTTGGAACTGGCGACTATTGTAACTCAATTATATTTAATATAACTTCATTATCTTTCCTTCTGGTAGACATTCATTTAAGAATGTAACGGAAAGGTAAGACCGGGAGAAGACTTTGCAGAGAGGGATTTACAGATTTACCCTGCAATCACGGCATTCGTTTGCGGTCTGGTTCTTATGACGGACTCGTACACATCGGCTGGCCGTAACGTGATGGAGAGCTGTTGTCATGTTTTAGACAAATGTGGGTAATCTACAGGAGGATCGTGTTTAGGATCCAACCAGAGAGAAGAATTGCTCTGGCAATTAAATACATTGCCGCAAACTAAACATGAAGGCTACTATGTTTGTACGAAGACAACAAATGACTTATTACTCCCATATGCGTCTTACGAATCTAACAAATACAGGAAACTAAAAGCAAATGTCGACATACAAAAAAAAAGGAGTAAATGGAAAATTGCAAAGCTGTGACTAGTTTTAAAAAGTGGCCAGCAACATTCGAGGAGCCCAAATACCCAGAAAAAGGAAGAGTTGTACACATCCAAACGTTGAGCATCAAAGCATTAACAGACCACGTCATGGTTATGTAATGTTTTGGGTCTTTGCGCTGCAAACCACATTTTCCGTGACACAAACATGACGCCGAGCACAACAATCAACTCTACATTTGTTCGGCCGACCAGTTGAGTGAAAAGCAGGGTCACCTGCGGAACGCTTGGCAGGACAGGCACGATTAAGAAAAAAAGAATGAGCACAACACATTGGTCTCTAAAGACGTAACTGTTGTGCTTTCAAACCTATAGTTCAACCTGTTCTTTTCCCCGTCTGTGAATGTGCAAACACTTTAATCCGTGCCTTTCCCAGACACTCCATTAGTGTCCTCAAGTAAACACGGACAAGAATGTCCCGGTCCCGCCATGTCTCAGTTACCATTACGCACAAGTGCCTGTATTTACAGCATACTTTAGCACCTCATCATGGCAGTTCATCTACTGCGCAATGATCACACCTAGTCCCTAGACGGGCATCATAAAAGTCAAGCACGATCCCTGTGTCAATGTCTCATCATCACCGCCCCCCCCACCCCAATGTCCCCCAAGGCGTCTCCTTTAAGATGGCAGCGCTGGCAGCTCGGATGAGAAGGCGTCTCTGATGTCTACGTTTGTAGGTGTTCTATTCCCGCTCCGGCCAGTGATTGGCATGTCACGAACATTTTGAAAGTCGACCCAAAAGCAGGAATTTCGAAAAAACCCAGCAAAACGCGCCGTATTCAGCGGCGGATTGCGAGTCGTGCTCAGAACCACGAAACGGGTAAATGGCTGCTTGTGCACGGAGCGTTTCCGGCCAACGCTGTACAGCTTGACAACACGGAGTGAATTAGCAAATGTAACCGGCTTCCTACCGATGTACAAGGCTCCTTTGTAAGCTGTCCAGGCAGGCAGAGGGACCCGTCCATTTCAATGGGTCACCGCGGTTCTGCTGGAGAATAATCTATTCATCTCACGTGCAAAAGGTGACAAAACATTTGTGCTCAATGATCACCATCAGCACACCTTCAAAACCATTAGAATTATTTTGAAACAAAGAAGCTACCAGAATACCAAGAATTCTAATAATTAGTATTAAGATTAAGATTCCTTTTGCATTTGATGAGCCTCTTTTGTAGTGAAACTCCCCTGAATAAACTAAAAGCTAAAAACACAATTATTATTTAAACGTCTGTTAATATTTTCAGCTCGGGTTGCTTAAAAAAGGAATGAACATTAATGTGACTTTTGGTCCAACTGGAGTGTTTCCTTTCCACTGCTTCTCGTACTCCTAGTAAATCATTTTTAAATAGAGCCCGTGGTGGTAAAGCAACATGACAACCAGTGTCCGTGTTATAACACAGAGAAGATATAAGCAGCCTTGTGTTATTCTTCAAAGCCACATGGGTATCACCTCATTCTGTTGTTCCCCAGTGAGTAACCGTAAACCATTTTAGCTACTTAAAAAAAAATAATGCACTGCATGTGTGATGGCAAAATGTCGAACCTTTAGACAGCGAACTCGCACGTGACCGGTCCTCTCCTGCAGAAAGTATGTTATACTTTCCGCCTGACTTTATCTTAAAGGTTTTCTCCTTGTATCAACATCCTTTTGAAATCTGAGGCCGAAAGGCTTTGTTGAAAACAAAAAGTGCAGCATCAATAGAACACTTGACCCACAATTAAGAGTGCTTAGTGACTTCCCTCACCTCTTGGCATGTGGAGAACCCAAGTTAACAATAGAAAAGCTCACTCATTAACGAGGTCATTAGAACGAAATTACTGTTGAAAGGCCCCAAACAGATGTTGAACTTCTGAAACAATGTTTGTGTGCAGCTAAAAGTCAAAGCATTCAGCGGTTTGCTTTTCCACACTGCCGGCTCGTGACTGACACAGTAGCCCATGTGTCGTTTCCTCTCCTCTGTATATGGCCCCTCCAAAGACGCCGCCCAATAAACCCCCAACACCTGACGGAGGGAGGAGGAAACGCGTTCAAAACCTCTGTGGAATGAGTGAAAGTAGGAGGAGGGGCACAGGGGCAGAGGGGTGGGTGGGAAAGGCCCTCCGCCCTGAAGGTTGGAGAGGGTCAACGCGGTGACTGGCGTGCACCAGGAGGGAAGGGGGAGGGACCCCTGGTGCAAAATATTTAAGATGTTCAGTCGGAGGAGGGCTTCACTGAGGGAAATAAGAGCCTTTAAAGAGCAGCTCCGACTCAACCGCTGGGCCGCAGCTCTCTTCGTCCGCTTGATATTTCCAGCGAAGGGACCAAAATCCAGAACTTTTGCCACACCAAGCCGACGGGATGGCAAAGGTGAACGCGTGCGTGGTGGCTCTGGGGTTCACGCTGCTCCTGTTGGCGGAGACGTGGGCCCAGAACCCCAGGAAGAGACAGACGCCTCCGAAGACCCCCAAGGCGCAGTGCTGCGACGACGTGCGCTCCCTCAAGGTGCAGGTGGCCAACCTGACCAGCCTCCTCGAGGAGATGAGCCGCAAGCAGGAGACGGACCTGATGAGCGTCGTGAGGCAAATAATGGACCTGGACAAGCAGAACCGGCAGCAGGAAGCCCGGGTGACGGAGGCAGAAAGCAAGTACTCGGAGATCAACAACCGTGTGGAGATCATGCAGCTGCAGACCCTGCAGTCCGCCACCCAGACCTCGTCAGGTGAGCATCGGCGCGTTGGAGAAGCCTATAGTTGAGGAGACAGTGACGGGCACTCGGTTGCCATAGTGACATAGCTCCAGAAAATAGGGCTGGAGAAAGTTTGTGAAGTAGAGCCCGCTGCACTGAACTTGTGCGCCGTCCGTCCGTCAATTGTCTTTTAAATAACATGTTAATCACCTGCATAACATGGGCGTATTTTTGTTGAGGAGAGCACTAATTTATAATTTGAGTAAATCACGAGCTCTTCAGCCTTCATGTGAGTGGATTGTGAGTACCTGAATCAGCCTGCGAGAGGAGTCTCAGGCAGCTGCTGCGAGGCCGATTACAGGGCACCCGACAGCAGGCTGAAGCCTTCATTGGGAGCTGGAGTCCCGTCTGCGCCGCCGTCAATAAAAGGGCTCCCATCAAAGCAAAAATCATCTGCGACATCCAGCTCAACCTCAACACGCCACTAATCAGCGCTGGCTGCCGCAGAGAGGTTAACCAGGCACGACGTAGTTTATTATTTCACTACCAACAGTGTGGTCGAGCTGGCCCACATTTAGGTCACTGGCAAGGGGAACACAAAGGCCTTTTTCTTAAAGCTGGAGTAAATTCCAGACAGGACGGCAGAACAGGAAGGGGTGTCAGATTAGAAGAAGTGGAAGGTTTCCGTCTCTTTTTCATTCACACAGACTTTTTAAAGAATTGGACTGATTGCTTTGTGGTGATCTCACAGCCGCATTAATGGCCTCGCCAAACTGCGGCAGAGAAGAGGGAGAGAGAAGAGCCGTGCTCGAGTCAGCGCCACGACTCCACTCTACTTTGCTTTCAGCGGGGGTAGAGGTCACATTTTCATCTGCCCAATCACTCAGACATCCATAAAGCCCGTTAGAATTTATGACTCGGAATTTCTTTGAGCTGCATATGGTTTTATCATTGTTTATCATTTTTTTCTCCAGACGCCACATATGACTGCGCATCCCTGTACAGTAAGAGCTACCGAATCTCTGGCGAGTACAAACTGCCAAAGGACGAGTTTCTGGGGACACCTGAGCTGAGCGTGAGTCCCACCTCAGAGCCGAGTGAAGGGCAACGCCGACAGTGAGGCATCTGCATCCGATTACATTCTGATATATGCTTTCAGGTCTTCTGCGATATGGAGACAAATGGAGGCGGTTGGACTCTGATCCAACGGCGCAAAGTCGGCCTCACATCATTCAACCGGGACTGGAAGCACTACAAAAATGGATTTGGATCCATCCGCGGGGACTTCTGGCTCGGCAATGATCACATCTTCCGCTTAACCAGGCAGCCCAGCGTGCTCCGGATTGAGATGGAGGTAGGTGTTGGAAAACAGGGCCCTCGCGTAAGCTTGGGCCGGGACACTCAGGAGCAAGAAAATACTACCAGCTCAGCCAGCTTTAGGAGCGCCACTCGGCTCCATAAGCGAGCCTCTCTAAATCATTTACGTTTCCCCAACGCAGGACTGGCAGGGAGAGACGCGCTACGCTCAATATGGCTTTTTCACTGTGGGCAACGAGCTGAACAGCTACAAGCTCTTCCTCGCCAACTACAGTGGGAACGCTGGGGACTCTCTGCGCTACCACAACAACACCAACTTCAGTACCATCAACAAGGACAACGACAAGTGCGTGGACGACTGCGCTTCCCTGCGCAAAGGTAAACGGCGAGAGCAAACCCGAAACAACGAGAGGTTACGCGTTTCCCCCTTTGATTTACATAAAGTCTAATTGGTTTTTCCCCCTCGTCTCCTTGCAGGTGGTTACTGGTACAACTGCTGCACCGACTCCAACTTGAATGGCGTTTTCTACCGCTACGGTCAGCACATAACAAAGAACCCAGATGGGATCACTTGGTACGGCTGGCACGGGTCCAACTACTCCCTCAAAAAAGTGGAGATGAAGGTCCGGCCAGTGGATTTTCAACCATAAGTGCTTCGGCTGTGATGACATGCATGAATGCTGAGCGATCTCACCCAGGGCCCACGGAACGAAGATGTAGTTTGTGACGGTCAGAGTACGTTTAGGTCAGATAAGTGTGTCATGTTTGTCGCCATGTATGATTGTAAATTGTAGTTCTTTTTGTGTATTTATCAGTAAAAATATTCTATTGTTCAAATGCTTTGATAGATGCTCTTCTACCACTGTCCCGTTAAGGGTGACTGGATTTGATTTCTTCTCTCGTTTGTCTTGAAAGCACTAGGATGTATTTTTTAGTTAACACAAGTAACACATGTCAGGATCGCAGCAAGAATCCATCCAGAGGCGTCTGGTTCAGGTACAGATCATTAAGGACTGGTAGGGACGTATAAAACAAAAAGGGTTCTTTGTCAGTTGCTGGGATGGGATCAACCACCAAAGGCATGTCCTATGCATTAACCTGCCTTTTATTGTAAAACCCTAACCATTGATGATGGAAGTGTGTCATTTGTAAAAATGTGTACAGCTCTGTAATTATGTTTTTATGTGATAGAAAATAAACATATTTTTTAAACGAAACCCGTCTCATACAAACAGTCCATCGCCGATCTCAGCAAAGGTTGAAATGGAGCAACGCGTAACAGCAAAAACAAAGTCCTGTGTCCATTCATGTCCAGAAATAGCAACATATTTGCCTTGAACCACCAACCTCTGACCCTTTGGCCGTCTTCTGACATGTCCCTGGACGCATTAGTGGAATGCAGAAAATGAAGACCACACACACCGTATTCTGCCACGGAGTTAAAAGCCCCCAGGGTTACTACCTTGAAAACAATAACCCCCTTTTGCTACGCTCTGAAATAACAAAGAATTCCTGAGGGCATTTACATACCTACAGCCAGCGGGGAAGGCCGACAGGCTCCCCGGTAGGCTGAGCAGAATTCTCTTCCTTTAACAAGGTGACACAGTCGGGGTACACATCTAATTAAAGCTGTACATGCATTTCTACCCGTAGAAGGAAATGAGCACAGGGGAAATGAAGGACACCCAAAGTGGGACCTTTGGACGATGACAAATTACCTGCTCTTTCTATTGTAGTGTTTAAAAGTATTCAAACCTGTGACCCCCGACAACAAGGGCAGACCTTGAACAGTGGTGGATGATGTAGAGGCCACACACTGCACGATACACGCAGAACACCAAGCGGCTGCAGCTGGAAGCTACGCTCATTTGTCTGGAGTTTAACTTCGAGTGAAAAGTTATTAAGATTTGTGTAAACGGAGGTGATCTTGACTCCTTCACCACGTTTTAAACCCAAAGAAGTCAATGACAATAAACCACAACCAACACTCTTTAACAGGGTGAAACACCACTACACAACAGCCAGTGACACATAACAATTTGTAACACCAATAGTAACTCTGTTGCTACATGAAAACACGGAAAAAAGCGATACCGTCACATACCAGGATACCGCCAGAATCTTTCTAAATACCGTGATATGGATTTTTGGCCACCGCACAGCCCTAGGTTACAGTATCTTACTGTACACCTGATTTTTACATGGAATTATATACAATATGAATCATCTTGTATATAAACTGCCTACCCCTGTATATTCATACATTGAATCCAATCAAGCAGTTTAAACAACCTGCACACAGGCTACTCTAAACTTTGCAGTCATCTATACCGCTGAATAAACCATATATACTAAACTTTCCATCTCTAAGGATTTCCATAGAGCACAGTGACATTATGCCGGCCCATTTATTATTAACGCCGATCTTCAGTAGCCACAGAAAGTCATATTTACTAACTGAAGGAGTACCTGTACACACTGTTAAATGATCGTCCACGCAGCTTTTGCCCCATGATCACATTCTATCAGACATCGTACAAAATCGGATGAAAAACTGAATTTCTAAAAATGTTGCGACCCAGCAGGAAGCACAGTGACAACATAGGCCAAATGCTCAATTAAAAATGTTCCTTGGTTTTGGGGGATTAATGGGGAAAATGTGACTGTTTTCTGGCCATAGCTGCAGAGCCTGCAAATATAGTTAACCACAAACAAATTTTGGGGATTTTCTTAAAATCCTTCACACATTAATCATACCACCTACAACTCATAAAATGTGTTCTATTATGAGTGTGACACCTCTGGAGATCAAATTCCCTTCATTATAACTGAAACTAACTGAATGTGACTTTCTATTTGCAAATTTAAAAAACAATCCCTGAAATAATCACCTACGAACACCGTGACTCATCGGGAACTGAAATAGCAGTGACGATGCTGCCTGTCACCAACAAGAGTGCATCAGTTATGAAAGTGCTTTTCTTCTTCTTTGCTTTCAATAAGGCTTTGCACAGTGATTTTTGCACACCGGCCCACTGGATCTTTTTATGGGAAGTCCTGGAGAGGTGAGAACCAGATGGGGATATTGAAAACGCCAGAGTGCCGGCTCCCATCATTCATCATCATCAAGGCTCCTGAGAAATTGAAAACAGGCCCCCGAGAAGCACCAGTCCAGACACTCGTAGATGAAAAGGAGGCAAGTATCCAATTAGTTGCCTGGAAAACAGATTTCTCCACGTAATGCCAAAAGCTTAGAAATAAAGAAGGATGAGAAAAGAGGATGGAAAGGTTGACAGAAGATAGCAAAGACTTATGGGAAGATATGTGCAATATCATTTTTTGTGTATTTATCTGACTAAAAATTGACTGAGTGAACGGTTTGTTTGTCTTGACATCTCGAGTATATAATAGAGTATAATAACCGTTAAACACAGAAACAAGAGACCACCCAGTGACACGGAATTATGTTATAATGTCAAAGTTACCGAGAAATTAAGTCCTAACTTTGAGGAAGCTGCATATTCCTTTGAACATGTTTTACTTGTTTACTTTGCCCAAAGCAAAACCATAAACAGTAGGTTGGGCTGACCATTAAACGTACCAATTGGTTATTTGCCCCTTCAATGTAAAAAACAAATGTACGCGTGCTGTTGTCAGTCAGCATCTGTGACGGAGACTCGAGGAAGAAAGCTTCTCACAGTTTATCAAAGCCATGCTTTTTCCCCTTATTAAATAGATCACTTACCTGATAAGAGACTCCAGGATGAGAGGAGAAGCCCCTTTCTGGAACTCCAGCTCTTTGTAGTGCAGCGCCTTGGCGTAGGCCCGACACTTGGCAGCTCTCTCGCCGAGCAGCACGATGCCGTTATCATCTCTGAGGGGCAGAGGGCCCTGGAGCAGGAGACAAATTACATGAAATAAATAAAAATAAAAAAATCAAATGAACTCTGCTGCATCTGCATTTCTTTCTTAGGGTTTGTGGCAATCAATAGATATTATTATTTAACTATAAACTATATTTAAATGTAGACTATAACCCGATTACTGGAATAAGGCAGGTATCAGGTATCATCTGGTGACACAGAGAAAACATCGGCCTTCTTTCCACCGGCGTGGAACCGAACACTTCATGTCCTCCCAGCAGGGGGTATGCTGAAACAATATGTTGTGACCAGGCCATGACAGTCTTGACAAAACCGGTTCTGTCTGCTCCCCCCCCCCTCCCCATGATCTTTAAGTGTTATCTTGTCTTGTTTATACGTTTTATTACGACATTACCGACAGCAGCCAGAATGGTTCCCGCTCAGCTCTCCACTTGTGACTTTTGAATAGTTGCCAAAGGGTCTATGTACTGCAGCTTTTGGCCAAGCTCAAACCTACAACAAACAATCCCTTTTAACCACACCTACCAATGGAAACCACAGTTTTCACAGCCTGGCGCAGGTTTCCTGACTGTGGTGAACTGCAGCAATGTTGTTTGCACAAAGTCTGAGGGCAAATGAGGAGACTCGGTTCCTCTGGTGTTTTTGCATCAGTCTGAACGCAGATTCTTTTACTTAATTCTGACGCAGCGTTCAAGTTTTTCGGGAGTTTAGTTCAATACACTCAACGCTAGTGCGTGCAACTTACTGTGAAGATTCACAACGAAAAGGATTTAAGTTATCGGAGCCAAAGGCTCGTTGGTTGAGGTCGCTGAGTCATGGGTAGGAATAAATAAATTCTTGCCCTCGTAGATTTAGGTGGGCAATTTGAATTCAGAAAAAAATAAAAAAAACATACATATACATATAAAAGCAGTCTAATCAAACCAGGCGTTTGCGGTTTCAGTCAGCTTCTCGGACTCATTTCGAACCTTGTCACTGTGCTCCATGAACTCTGCCAGGTTGAGCAGAGTCTGCGTGACCTCCGCGATGTCCTGGGAGGTGAGGGCCAACTCGATGCTGCGGATGAGCTCGTCCTGCTGGTCCTCACTCAGCTCGGACCAACAAGACAGGAAGGCGGCGTTGAACAGGTCCCTGTGGACCACGGAGCACAGCAGACACACGTTTAAAATATGATGTCATGCAAGAACAGCAAATCAATAAGTAGCTGGATTAGCTTGCTTGCATTAGCATTGCATGACGTGAACGTTTCTGCTTTTGCGGACCATCTTGGTTCTGCAACGTAAAAAGGGGCGAGACGAGAAAAGAATGAGCGGCACGCCCGACCTGGCCAGGGGGATGTAGGTCTGGGCCAGAGACCAGCATGACCGCAGTGCTGGAGAGGAAGACTCCTTGAGCAGGACCACACTCAAGCGCCGCAGCCACTCCAGCCAATCATCTTTGGACACCTTCCTGGCGGCACCCCAAGCCTGTGAAGAGACAAAAATCCTCCATCTCAGCATTCACGGGAGACTGCATGGGAGCAACACAGTTTCCCCAGACCCGATGGTCACAGGTAATGTGTGTGTGGGCTCATCTGGCCGAGACGGACACATAAATCTAGTTTTGCTACTCGAGGTGCAGCGTTTCTTCCAGAGGATTGCCTCATTTGGCGGTTTGATGGTGGTGTTGGAGAGCTGTGTTGATATCTAGTGACTGTGAGGGCAACAGCATATGAATGTTATCACTTCCATATTCATAGCAACATTCAGTAATGGGAGCATCTGCGTTCATTGTGTTTTTCCCTGAATCCATCAGTGCTCTATTGGTTCGTATGTCATCACTACGAGTAAACATCTTGGTCACAGCGCCATTTCCTGTACACAACCACAATACAGCCAAACAACCACTTCGGGGAACTCAACACTGGGCTGGTGTGCGTTACCCTCTGACCTTTTGAAGCGCGGTGGTGCTGACGTGTAGTTTCTTCATAGGTCCCGCCTCCACCGGCCCGCTGACCAGAGCATCGCCTTGGTTACCACGAAGCTGGCGATTTTGGAAGATTAGAGGGTCCTCTTCCTCCTCAGCCAGAGTATAACCCTATAATATTGTAAAAAAAAAAAAACACGCACCCAGGCCACACACACACACACACACACACACACACAGACCACCCACAGACAAACGGTTGATTCCAGCCTCAAAACATGTTTCATGAATGTAGAAGTGTATTTCCTTGCGTTGTATCAAACGTTTTTTTTCTTTTTGAAAACCTGGATAAATTGTGTTGGGTTCTCACCTTAACTATGCGACATATGAGTATGTCATAACGCTGGTGGTTGATCCTGTGCTTCAGC